AAGAAAGGAGGAAAGGAGAAAAACAAAAAAATAAATTTGGGTGTTTTAAAGTTACTTCTATTGTAACAGTATTATTTTAATAATTTCACCTAGCTCACTGAAGCAACAGAGTACAACCTAGAGCATCTTCCCACAGGACTGAAGACACTGAATTTAAAAGAAAGTTTGGGTATCGATGCTGCATAAGGAGGATTTCAACCTTGTTACTTGAACTTTTTAGTTTTATTCATTCCCTCAAGAAGCATTTATCAAGTTCCAGGTGCATAAAAATACAAGTTGTTTTAGTGGGGGTGGATATTATTAAAGTATGCCTATCTTTCTCCCATCTGATAGAGAGATTCACACAGACAGTATGACCCCACAGAATATAAAAAGTGCTGTAACAGGAGCTTGCACCAAGGAGTCTGAGTCAAGATGAGCTGCCAGCCCTGGTTGGCCTGAGGAGGAAGAGGTAAGCCAGGGCACCCACGTGTTACATCTAACCTTCTTTTCTAATGATGCCTGACAGAAACCCATGACATTCGATGTAATGAAATCCAATGAGGATTCAGAATAATCTCCTTACGCTCTATGTAGGTCAACAAAATAAATGTTTATGTCATAGTCATTTCTGCTTTGTGGTTCACACAAGAGCTTACAGAGATACAAAAATCGAAAGGGTTTTCATTTGGGAAATCATTTTGGACTCTTTCACATTCTATAAGAGACAGTAAACTATAGTGTCTAAAAATAAGATTCAAGAGTAGGAATGATGATTATAAGGTACATTGAAAATGGCAAATTAGGGGCTGGGGTTGTGGCTCAGTGGTAGAGCCACTTGCCTAGCACGTGCAAGGYCCTGGGTTCAATCCTCAGCACCACACAAAAATAAATAAATAAAATAAAGGTATTGTGTCCAACACAACTAAAAAATTTTTTAAAAAAAGAAAATGGCAAATTATTGTTGTTTTCGAAAAAGTGTGGCTGCACACATTGTTTCTGTTCATTGTTAAACCAAAAGGAATTTTAAGGAAAACAAATATATATTGTTCTGACACATTTGTATCCATTACTCATCAATATGTTGTTTTAAACAAATCACCAAATACCCGAATAATCTTTTTTTCTTAGAGCGGTATATCATTTAATAGCCAGAATTGAACCACGTATGCTGAACCTGGGTACCTTCAAAATCCCAAGGGAATAGCTTCTTGTACATCCTTTAAACGTGACTTGGTTATATCCCAGCACAACACAAGCATGCTGAGCTAATCAGGTCCCACTAGAATGGCCTGATTAGCTCAGCATGCAATGTATGCAACAAGGCCTGACATGTCTATTTAAAAACTCAATAAAATGAAGTTTCATCTCTACTAGTCTAGTGTGTCCTCATCTAATAGTTTATTTTTGGCTCTCTGGCCTAAAGCAGATAGAATTCTGCAGTTATCAATTTTCAGAAATAATTTTTTAAAAGTTTCACTGACGAAGAAGATGACATAGCTAAGAATGACAGACATTTCCAGGGGCCCTGTTTTCAGCAGACAGTAACCTACTTTTGGTGTGTGT